TAGGTGGCTTGTTAGCTGCCATATAGGCTGCTGGGAACCAAATCCAGGTCCTCTGCAAGAACATCCAGTACTCTTAACCAAGGTATCTCTTCAGCCTCCAATGTCCTTTTAAAAAAAGATCTTTTTATTTTATGTGTGTGTTTTGACTGAATGTTTGTATGTGCGCCACATATGAGTCTGGTGCTAGTGGAGGTCAGAAGGGAGCATTTGATCTCCTGGAGCTGGAGTTAGAGATGGCCGTGAGCCACCACATAGATGCTAGAAACCAAACTCAAGTCCTCTGCAAGAGCAGCAAGTTGTCTTAACTGCTGAACCATCTCTCCAACTTCACAGCTATACTCTTAATAGCAGCAAAATGGGGGGGGGGGGAGATTGCTCAGTGGTTAAGAACACTGGTTGTTCTTGAAGAAGACCCAGGTTCGAATCCCAGCACCTACATGGCAGCTAACCACTGTCCGAAACTCCAGTTCCAGGGGACCCGACGGACTCTTCTGTCCTCCACGGGCATTGCACAACATGGGTGCACTTACCTACACACAGGCAATGCACGCATACACATAAAATAAAAATAATAAATTTGCTTCATGTTAATTAGTTGAGGTGCTAAACATTACCATTGAAATCTACCTGATGACTTTATATCCATACTCAGGTGCCAAGGATCCGAGTGTAACCAACTGTGACTAGTAATAATCAGATACAGAGAGATTAGAGACGCATGTGCAAACATCTAAGTGTTAGTAGACTATGTAGACCAGGCTGGCCTCGAACTCACAAAGATCCACCTGCCTCTTCGTCCCAAGCCCTGGGATTAAAGGAGATCTTTTTTAAAGGTTAAAACCTCATTCAATTTTATGTCTTATAAGGTTTATACTGAGTTCAGTATTGTATAACTGTGTCAATTCAACTGTGGGACAAAAAATTTACAGCCACTTTTGAGAGATGCATCTTTGCTCTCTGGAAATTGTTAATGAATATGTTAAAGCTGTAGCAAAATGTTTCTTCTAATCATGTTGTTATTAAATAAATAATGAAAAAATAAAAATAAAGAAATCCAAAAAAATATTGCATTTTAATTAATTCATATTGGGGGGACGATGCACAGGTACCATGGTATGCAAGTGGACACTACACACACACACACACACACACACACACACACACACCTCCAATTAAAACACTTGTAAAAATAAAAATAAATAAAAAATATTAAAAATAGCAGCAAAATGGAACAGCTCGTAAACAAGACACTACCGAAAAGCGGAGGCATAGTTATGCAATGGACAAGTCCTCGACAACAAGGAATGAGCGGCTGGTGACCACAACGGCACAGAAGAATCTCAGACTCACCGCAGAAGTCCTGCGCAAACAGTACAGTTACACCTGTGTGAACTTCTAGAATGGGCAAATTTATCTACGGTGTTGAATACCGGAAGGAATGGCCTCAGTGGGGGAGGTGATCTGGCTGGAAAGAACGTGAAGGAAGTAAGGTTGACCTTCTACATCTTGAGATTCTATTCTGTCTCTTAATATAGGTGGCGATTACACGTGTGTATATCGTTTTCAAACCTCTAGAGGCTGCATAATATCAAGTGCTGCATTTCATTATATGTAAGTTATACTTTGATAAAGTACAGTCAATATAAAAATTTGAGATGTGATACAACTAAACAAATAAATATTCACTATTTTGGTCAGATACTTAAATTCCATGTAGATCTAACATGAAATGGAAATCACAAACATGCGAAGAGAAAATGTAGAATTCTTTCTAAAATTCAGAATGAATTCAGAATGTCTTTGTAACAGCAACTCAAAGTTAAGAAACTATAAAGTATCAATAAAACACTCCATAAAATGTCAGTATGAACAGTTCATAATCTCAAAGCTGTGTAAAGGACTTGGAAGGAAATGCACGACAGTGTTAAAGTAACATTCTTTTGCATTTTGTAAATTTTTTTTGGTCTTTTTTGAGACAGGGTCTCCCTGTAGCCCCAGCTGGCCTGGAACTCACTATGTAGACCAGGCTGGCCTTGAGCTCACAGAGCTCCGCCTGCCTCTGCCTCCCGAGTGCTGGGATTAAAGGTGTGCACCACCACGCCCAGTCAATATTTTGTAATTTTTAATGGTGTTTCTTTTCTCTGTACGTTTTTACATACAGTCCACAAGCTGTGTCACTCTCAGGAGCTAAGGACCGCGCTGGAGCCCTCACCTCAACCTCACTACTGTCCTTCTTCCCAGTTCTTCCTCCCATGAGTCACTTCCTTCTTTGCACTATTGAACCTACTCCCCTTTGATGCCATCACAGCCACAATCCATCAACCCCACTCTCCTTCTCTGGCCTCTGCCATGTCTTCTTTGCTAAATAATCAATTTTCCATTCCCTCTAAACATGCTTGTTTTCTGACCACAAATATCTTTTCTTTGTAACCAGGAAGCACTTTGTCCATGAAGGCATCTTCTTCTGCCTCCTTCCCTCTACATAACTTTCTGATAGAACACTGGTCATTGTCACCTTCATTTCTCTCCCCTCAGATCACTTTTTTATTTTCAGTAATCTTAATACCCTGCAATTATTCTACATAATCTATCTTGATGGGTTTCCTTATCTACCTTAAGATATCCCCCATTTTAAGGTACAAAATATTCAGTGATTTCTGTGGAACAAGTTCAAGTTCTTGATTGCCTACCAAAGATTGCCTGCATGACCTTGACCTAGCCAGCATCACTTTGTCCTGTCACTTCTCCTCATCCTACCCAAACATCCTCTGCTATTCTCCGTGCTCTCCTGCCTGGGCCCCTCGCTGCACTTTTACTGTCGGGAACTCCAGTCATCCTCCCTCTAGATATCTATGTGCTACAAGTCTGCTCTGGGGGAGATTCCACTCCCTCACCTCTGCATAGTGATGCGGAATCGCCTCCAGAGTACAGCTGGCAGTGTATGTTTTTCCATCGGTTTTAATCACCGTGCTTATCATACACGCAACTGAAATCTGTAGAAGTCTTTTTATAGATTCTTTAGTCTAAGGTGTTGGTCCGACTGCTCATATATCAATATCACACTGTTTTAATTACTGAAGTTTTAAACCTTGTTTTAATATCTTTGAGGGAGTTTTTCTCAGAATTTTCATGACTATTTGTTTATCCTATAAAACTTCAAAGTGTCTTGTCTAGTTGGAAGAAAATATGTTTGAGAGGATCTCAGTGCATTGTTGGTATATAAGTTAGATTAACATAGAGACAGTTGAGATTTTATTTAATGATGACTACTACTTACCCATGCAGGAACATGATACACCCTTCCATGTATTCTAGCTTTCTAACCTTTAGTATATTTTAACATTTTATTCATGCAAATCTTATACTTTTTAAAATAAAGCTATTCCTATAAATTTTGTGTTTGCTAGTACTATTATGAATTAAGGAGTTCCCTGCAAATATGTTCATGTCTTAATCTCAGAACTGTTAATATACTTAGCTACAAGGCAAAAGGGGCCTCATAAAGTTGCTAATTATCTGATTATGCTAGATTATTTGGGTGGGCCTAATGCAATCGCAGAGGTCCTCGGATGTGCAAGATAGCAGAAGTCGTCTGTGTCAGAGTGGTATGATGTAAGAAAAACTCAAGGAGCCACTTCTGGCTTTGAAGATGCAAGATGAAGAAGCCAAGGATGTTGTATTAGTCAGAGCTCCATCACGGGGTGGAGGTGGGGGCAGTTATATAAACCATTTTGAAGGAGAGAAGGTTTATTTCAGCTCACGGTGTCAAAGGTTTCAGTGCACAGTCAGTTGGCTCCATTGATTTGGGGCCTATAGGGAAATAATACATCATGATGGAAGTGTGTGGTGGAGGAAAGTGCTCACCTCATGGAAGCCAGGAGCCAAAGAGAAGGGAAGGAGCTGAGGTCCCAATATCCCCTCCACAGACAGGCCCCCGGTGATCTAACTTCCTCCCTACTTCTTAAAGATTCCATCATCTACCATAGCACCACAGCCCAGTGACCAAGCCTGTAACATGTCTTTGAGCAACATTTGTCCAAGCACAGCAGATGTGGATCAACTCTAGAAGCTAGAAAAGGAAAAAAAAAGTGATCTCCCTCAGAGTCCCATGAAGAACCAGGACCAAGAAACTTTTTTTTAAATGTTGAAATGTTGTGTTTGCCTCATAAAAGAAAAAACCCACACATGTCTTTAAATGATCAAATTTATGCATCAAATAAAACCCAATAGGTTCATGTAAAATCACATGCAAACACCAAGCAATCAAAATTCTGCAAAATATCAGCTTTGGGCAATCAAAAAGTAACCAGTGTCTTTTCTAAGAACTACCTTGTTAACACTCAAACCCTATCAGGAAAGTTCGATAAAAACCCTGTAATTACTTTTTTTTAAAAAACCCCACTTAAACTGACATTTTAATCCAAATACACCATGTCCAAGTGAAGAAAATGGAAAAACCAGGTGGTCAGAGCAAAATAAAATAATGATCTCTAAGTTCTCCAATAATTATTACATATTAATAGTTTCTCTTTTCTAGAGACGAAAGGAAAAGAAGGATGAACGCATTCCTAGTCAAGCTGAGTATTAGGTGGTGAGGTCAACAAGGATTTAATGGACGTAACATACTCACACCTGTTTAATAATGGATGCTGTTAGAGTGTGACGACAGCTCCTTTTGAAGACCCAATGTGAAGCTCCTGGTCCTATAACAAGTAGTAGCTGTGATGGGTAATAACTTAGTAACCACCTAAATGCACATTTTTATGAGATGAGTAACTCTTCCCAGGCAAGTAAAAAGCAGATTAATGAGATGTTCCTATGGGATTCAGTATAAACATTAGAAAGGAGAAGATCCCACCTCTTGTGACACCACCTACAGGGAAGGCTATATAAGCTCTTCAAAGAAGAAAAAGCCACAGGCCTGGAATTCAGACTCAGTCAAGGGTGCTCAGTCTGTGGTGACCACAGACTGTGAGATCAACTGAAGCTGGACATACATTATGGATATCAAGGGCTCCACAGCAATGATTTCTACTTCATCTCCACCCCAAAACTGCTCTGGGAATACAAATTTTAAGATCACCTCTTCTAACAACAGCTGCTTTCATGGAGCTACCAAGTCCAACAGCTGTCAATCAACTGGTCATGTCCTAAGAACTCCCCAGGGTCAAGGCTATCAACGAACCTCTTGCCTTGGTCGCATCCCAGTCTATTTGATAAGCAACTACAATGTCCATCCCAGTCTTGATGACTGCAGCTGGTATGGTGAAGGCATCAACAGTCATGAGAAAGAGACCATGCAGATCTTGAATGACCGCCTTGCAAGCTACTTGGAAAAGGTACGAATGTTGGAACGAGAGAACGCAGAACTAGAGGGCAGAATTCAGGAGGACTGTAACAAGGAGCTCCCTGCCCTGTGTCCCGACTACCTGTCCTACTATACCACCATTGAAGAACTGCAGCAGAAGGTAAGACTCAGAGAGCTGTGGAGTCAAGTGAGTGGTTGGTTGCTAAAGTTGAGTATTTCCGGAACCTTCTGTGCTGAAATTTTCTGAATAATAAGAAACGATCTCTTGATTGAAAACGTCATCTTGAGGTAATTTACAAGGTTTTATATTTCTTTTCTCAGAAGTACACTTTGCCATTATAACCACATGATTCAGGATTGAAACATAATGAGTTGCTCCCATATCTTTAATAAGAATAAGAAAACAGGAGCCTGAGAAACTTTTATTTTAATAAGTCTCTAAAGAGTTTAGTTTTTACCCATGTTATAACTACCACCACCTTTTATGCCCATATTATTATCCTCACAGTATTTAAATAGCTTGTTCCTACACCAAACCTTACCTTCTTACGCAGTGAGCTGCTGCTACGAATCTGCATTTATTTATATTTTTTTCAACAAGTATTTATTGAGCACCAACAAAAAAAATGCCCCAATAACAGTTATAAGCTCTGGGAAAATATTCCTGGCCTCAAGATTTGCATTCTATTATGTTACAATAGATTAGGAAAAATTAGGAAAGATGTTATATAACATTAAAAAACCAAAAGTTTTTATTTACATGGTTTTTGCTAATCTCGTAGGAAAAGAACAGTAAATGACTTTCCAGAGTTTCCCACACCTCTTGAGCATTGCCCTGAAGACTTAGGAAAGTCTAACTAGTCTTCTGTTAATTGAAACACACACAAGTCCCTTGGTTCTTAAAGAAGGCGATCCTGGTGTTTGTCTCATTTGTGTGTACAATCTCTTAATTCTAGATCTTGTGTACCAAGGCTGAGAATTCCAGACTGGTCTCACAAATTGACAACACCAAACTGGCTGCAGATGACTTGAGAGCCAAGTAAGCCCACCCAGCACTGTCACTGGTGACAGAATTCACCTTGACTGACTTAAACATTCCTAGTGAGACTGCCCCCATCTCTCCTAAGACTCCTGATCCACATCATATTGGCACTACCCAGAAAAGACCTTCACATTCACTATGTGACTAAATTAGGAGCCCTAACATGCACACAGAACCTTCCTTGCTGGCATACAGACCCATAGGATTACCCGTGGTGAAGTAGGTAGGGGTAGTATCTTATTACCCTGCTCCAGGCAAGAAAACTGAATATAATGAGGAAGTAACTTACACAAAGGTGTATCTACAACAAGATGAAGCCAAAAATACAGACCCAAGCTTCCTAGGCCCAAATCCAATGCCTTCTTCTATTGAATTCCTTTTAGAAGCAGAGGTAGGAAGATCAATTCCCTCATCTCAAAGACAGCAAGGTGGCATCACTCTAGAAGACTAATTTGAACATAGCTAAGCCATGGTATGGACTGAATGGTTTCACCTCTAAAGAGAATAAAATGGGGAACTACATCCAATGAGAGGCCCAGAGAAAAATGAAGAAAGTTCTGCTTTGCTTCACTTGTATCGTCTACTTTTTAATGCCTTTCTTTTCTGGCTTTTAAAGCTATGAAGCTGAGCTATCCCTACGGCAACTCGTGGAGGCCGATGCCAACGGCCTGCAGCAGATCCTAGATGTGCTGACTCTGAGCAAGGCTGACCTGGAGGCACGGGTCCAGTCTCTGAAGGAGGAGCTTCTGTGCCTCAAAAGCAGCCATGAAGAGGTTAGAAGAAAACAGAGTCCCCATGGGCTGAGCCCCTAAAATCAGCATCAGTTCCTTTGAGCACAGTTTACACACTGTGTCCCTGCTAGATTCAACTGCCATTGTTAGCCTTTTTATATGTATACTGTTACTACTCGGACCACTGGCTTAACTGTATTTCAAACCCATTGACTGCAGTACAGTTTCTGAAGTCACACAGTTAGGAAAACCCTCTGTTGTCCCAATTTTCTTGTCTTCACTAGTTTGTGTAGATATCCCTGAACAGACTGCTGCCATCCCCTGCTGGCACAAGTCAATTCTGTCATAAGCTCATTGTAGACGATGGTCTCTTCTAAATCACAATCCATGCTTTCCCTCTATTAGTCATCCCCAGAAGTGATCTAAAATTTCTGAAGCTCTGATCTTGTCAATACCTTCATTTCCCACATATTTGAATACAGAGTCATATCCAAAATCACCTTCAAACATTGAATGGCATTTCAATAACACCTGCAGATCATGCATCCCTTTGTTGTGGGCTGTATCTCAGACCCAATTAAACTAAAGTGTAGCCATTACACTGAAATGAAAACACGGCGGGGACAAGTCATCTGTTCACAAAGTAACTTCGCATTCTTCTTCTTTCCATAGGAAATCAATTCCTTACAGGGCCAGCTTGGGGACAGAGTCAACATTGAAGTAACCACTTCCCCTTGTGCTGATCTAAATCAGATTCTACAAGAAATGAGATGTCAGTATGAGTCCATCATGGAGACCAACCGTAAGGATGTGGAACAATGGTTCAACACGCAGGTGGGGAAAGCAAACAAATGGAAAAACCATAAGGCTGACGTATCACCAGGGGTCCTGCAGTGTGTCCTCCTTCATTGCAAAATACCTGAGATCTTTGTGTTTCAGATGGAGGAACTGAATCAACAAGTAGTAAGCAGCTCTCAACAGCAGCAGTGCTGTCAGAAGGACGTCCTAGAACTGAGACGAACCATGAGTGCCCTGGAGATTGAACTGCAGGCCCAACACCGAATGGTACCCAATAGGCTGACCAAGCCTATCCCAGCACTGATGGCAATAGCCCAACACCTGTGTGTCACACTGTTTCCCAAACTGTGTCTCTGTTTGTGAAAGGGTCTGTGGCTAGAAAAGAACATCGTGGTCAAATAAGTCTTGGAAATGTTGGATTAATTAAGCAAAGGTTAAACAGAACATGTTTGTGTTAGATGACCCACACCATGAATCTCCAAGGAGATGTATGGTACTCTAAAACTTATTTGACTATAGACCCTCTTCTTTTTTTTTTAAAGTGTATCTTATACTAATCATGACCCATGGAGTATACTTTGGGAAACACCAGGAAAGCACTTCATTTTATACAAAGCATTTTATGAGCTATCACATTAGAATTATGAAGCAAACTTCTGAAAGAGGTGATGTAACCATTAACCAACTTTAGCGATGAAGTTCTAAGAGCTTGGGTGATTTTCCCAAGCTAAATCCAAACTAAGTGTCATCTCACCAACTTTACAGATGGAGGCACTGAGGTCCTGAAGCTGTGAGTAACCGGACCAAAGGCACGAAAGAAATGATTTGATGTCAGGATTCACATCCTAGAGCCAGCTTCTGCTCCCCATGACACTGCCTCTCTGAAATAAGATAGCACTCAAATGCCTACTAGGAAGGGTATTAAGAAAACCTTGCCCCAAACTGGTTTTGTCACCTGCTAGTCATGTGACTGCGGACAACTCATTGAACCTCAGTTTTCTCATCTATAAAAATTGAGATAATCATACAAACACTGGGGTTATTAAAACCTAAAATCCCACCATTATCTGTAGATTTACAAAACCATAGAACAAGAGGGAACTTGACACATCAAAGTTTCAGCTCTCATGTTTTACTCACAAAGGAATTGATCCACGGAGGGGAATATCTGTAGTTAAACACTGCTCACTTCCTTTGAAAGATTCAAACACTGAATGAGGGGTGCTGGTGCTGGGATTTTAATGCCTGGGCATGCAATGAGTTGAGTTGTGTTCTTGTTGTTATTTTTTTGTTTTGTTGTGTTTCGTTTTTTTCTCTCGTGAGTCAGAAAGTATAGTGGGAAATTCTTAAGCAGTCAAAATAAGATAAAGAGAAATCAACACAGGTTAAACGGCAGAGGTGGGGGGAAGTAAACGCAAACAAGATTATCATTTTAGATTTGAACTTACTTGGTTAGGAAGTAATAGAGGTTAGAGATCCATTAGTGCTGTCACAAAGAAATTATTGTTTAAAATGGCTTAAACAATGACCTTAAGGAAGTCATCATCTGTAAGATCTGTTTTCTCCTCCTCCAAAGCGAGATTCCCAGGAATGTATCCTGGCAGAGACAGAGGCCCGCTACACAGCCCTGCTGACCCAGATCCAGAGTCTCATCCATAACCTGGAGGCTCAGGTGGCAGAGATCCGGAGTGCCCTGGAAAGACAGAATCAGGAGTATGAGGTTCTGTTGGATGTCAAGTCCCGGCTAGAGTGTGAGATCGCCACATACCGCAGCCTTCTGGAGAGCTTGGATGACAAGTAGGTAAAATTAAAGCAAGTTATGTGAGAAAGATGCTCAAATACACACACACACACACACACACACACACACACACACACACAAATGATTTGTGACTCTCACTGGTGATGGGGAGAGCTAGAACGATCTGACTGTGTAAAATTAAAGCAAGTTATGTGAGAAAGATGCTCAAATACACACACACACACACACACACACACACACCAATGATTTGATACTCTCACTGGTGATGGGGAGCTCTAGAACGAGATGACTGTGTGTTCTCTCAAGACCTACAACTGTAGCACAGTCTCAATTTGAAGTGTGGGTGGAACTGAATGGTTTTAAAACGCGAGGTACCAAATTAACCCCTTCCAGGCCACATCCCACTGAGATGAGCATACGACTTTCCTGAGAAGGGAAAGGACAACCCTGACCAACAGGGGAATACTATGTTCGGGCTGAAACTTGCAACCTTCTCTAGATACTGGCCCTTCATGCCAACAGCATCATGTTGACCTGAGCATTTCAGATCCTTCCATTTACAAATAAAAAGTTGTGTTTTCTAATGATAATAAGCTAACCAACCTATAACGAACTCAGCCAGAATACAAGCTCTTTGAAGTAACTTGAACCAAACTAACCCCACAAATGCAGATTTTGTTAAAATTGGGAAGGACACCAGCTACCCCCAAATAATCCATAACCTCTGTTCACAGCATTCTCTTCACAAGTGCCATGTCAACTGATGCTGCCACCTTAAAGAGCTACAATATCTTAAGGGTCTGCATTATCAAAGAAAGACTGTATATTACAAAAAGAGTATTTTCTGTTAATTCCTGGGTACTCCAAATCTCTAGAAACAATTCATTTATAGACACCCTAAAGGTCCCTTTGACACTTCCTGGTGCTGTGCTAAACTCTTCCATAAGCGGGCTTCAGACCACCACTAATAATACGAAAATTATCTGACTCACCTCCATTCCCCAGATAGCAAGCCCATCAACTTGTTCCATCTCCCTGTGGACCTTTGAGCTTAGTTTCCATTATGTGCATTCCACAGATGCAAAGCTAAAGCTCAGGAGAGCTACTTGACTCACGCAAGGCCACCTGCTGGCAAATAGCAGAGCAGGACTCCCACCCTGGTCTTTCACTGCTGAAGTAGTACTTTCCCATGGAGCTGTAGTGGAAGCTCACATCATGCAGGTCTCTGCCTGGTGTGCTGTCTTCCAAGGGATCTGCTCTATTTTTGTTCTTCCACTAACTACAATACAAAATGAATGAATGAGCATTAGCAGTACTTATTTTGAGTGACAAATACTGGAAATTAGCCGTCCCCATTTTCTTCACAGCCATCATTTTACTTAATCACAGGTAAAACTCTGTTGTTTTTTCCCCCACTTAGGCTTCCCTGTAACCCATGTGCCACCAAATGTGAACCATCCACTGGTACATCCTGCAAGTTCCGAGCCACGGAGTGCTCTGCCCCAGTCTACACATCTTCATCACTCCCTGGGATTCACAAGCCCTGCAATGTCTCTAGACCTCCATCTCGGATACTGGTTAAGATACGCACCATCACCAAGGAGATCATGGATGGGAAGGTCGTTTCTTCTTATGAGCACGTGCAGCCTTGCTATATCACGAGATCTGCCAAAGTCTAACATCCCAAGGTGATGAGAATGACCCACAGTTAAGAAAGAGAGGCCAGTGCATGATCCTGCCAGAAAGGTTTAAGAAACCCCCAGTCTCTTAAGGTACTTAGTTCTCAGTACCGTTGTAGGACCCCATTGCTGGAGAGAGCATCTTTTACTCTGCTCCTTCCCCAAGTCACTGCTACCGACATGATAATAAATTACATTTGTCTAGAAGGATGCTTTGCATTTGTCAGAGGGATGAGAGCTAATTAGTCAGTACCCAGCAAAATGGCCTCTTGCTTGCTTCCTCTGGTGATGGACAGGCAGGTTTTTCTTTCTTTTGTTTATTCAGGTCTTGTTTATCTATGTGCCTCCTTAGAGCCGGTCAGGCAAGTTCTGCAATTGTTTTTGGCCATTGGCACTTGAAGGCGAAAAGCTACAACCTTCCTTTCTAAATTCCTTCTTTGGATGTAGATTGACACCAGCACAGGAGCAGAATGGATGAGAAAGATTTCTAATGTTTGGTGTCCTTGAATAAAAAATCACAGGGATGGATCCTGCTGAGCTCTGCTACCGCAACTCTTATCTAACTAGCATATCAGACCGTCACCAAGGTTTCCTTCTTCCTTCTCTTTCCTTTTCTTGTGTGTGTGTGTGTGTGTGTGTTGTGCCTGTGTCTGTGTCTTTGTGTGTGTCTGTGTGTCTGTGTGTTTGTGTGTGTCTGTACCTGTGTGTCTGTGTGTCTATGTATATCTATAAAGGTGTGTGTCTGTATGTGTCTATGTGTATATCTGTGTGTGTGTATCTGTGTGTGTCTGTGTCTGTCTGTGTGTGCATATGATGGTGTCTATGTATGTGTGTCTGTGTGCATGTGTCTGTGTCTTTGTGTGTGTCTGTGTGTGTATGCGGGTGTGTCTGTGTCTGTGTGTTTGTGTGTGTGTCTGTGTGTCTGTGTATATATGTGTGTCTGTGTGTGTCTGTGTATGTCTGTGTGTGTATCTGTGTATGTGTCTGTGTCTGTCTGTGTGTGTATGTGATGGTGTCTATGTATGTGTGTGTCTGTGTATGTCTGTGTGTGTATCTGTGTACGTGTCTGTGTCTGTCTGTGTGTGTATGTGATGATGTCTATGTCTGTGTGTATTAGGGGTTGATCCCAGGACTTCCCACATGCTATAATTCAGCCTCCACCTTTTTTTCGCAGTTTTCTGCTTTTAGCAGGGTCTTACTGAATTGGCAAGCCTTGCCTTAAACTTGTGATTCTCCTGTCTCAGCTTCCTGAGTCCTGGATTATAGGTCTGTACCATCTATTCTTGTTCTCTTTGTGAAATACCAGGCTCTTCTCCAAATACTTCCTTTAAGAATCAGGATTAGTTGTGGGAAATAAATCCACAGCTATTTCTTCAGAGTCATTTTGAAGCAATAGCCTGGGTCCTTTCATTAAATGTTTGCTATTTCTCTTTCAATTCCTTAGGGTTATGGGAGTTTTATCTGCTTGTTTGACAAGCGACACATAGCTGGATTTCTCAAGACATAAGACCTGATGGGTGACAATGACAAAACAGCTTAGACTTTGCTTCAGTCTATCCATCAAAGAGATGGAATTAGCATCTACCAACTTTCCAAAACAGCACTAGTGAGTGATTTCTGCTTGGAAGCAGGAAGCCATCACAGCACGAGAAGCTGCCTTTATGCCCCAGGCACCATCAGCTTCTTACAGTCAGGCCGCAGAGTAGGGAAATCTCTGAAAAAAATTACTGGACCTTTCCAGAAGTGCTACTGAAAAAATTTCCAAATTAAACAGAGTGTAGAGCCTAAAGTCCTGAGGTCCAAAACTCGCCACTTCTCAACCACAACCCTGCAGAAAACATTCAGCTTTCGACAAATTAATGTCTTTGTTTGGTCAGTGAGGGTCAGCCTACTTCACAGGGTTGTTGTGAAGAGCAGATGAAGCCTTTTACGCGATTCTGCTTTGTATACTGCAAAAACTGCATACACATGACTACTATGTGTTTGCTTTTAGCTATAGCCTACACCTAATTTTGTTGTTGCTATTATTTCATTTTAAAATTCTTTCTCCATGAATTTAGCCATATGATTATAATTTGAAACTTTTAATAATATTTGGCTTTGGGGGAATTAAAAAAAAAAAGAAAAGACTTGTCATTATACCCACAATTCTACTCAATACAATAAAGCATTTTTTAATTCTTAGAGTGTGTATCAGATATCAGCTGATGCCTGATGCCCACATCAGAGATACTTATTTTAACTCACAGCTCAATGATTACTTCCTCCAGACACTCAGTGGCTTACGGAAAGCAGGCGGGATGCAACGCTCTAAGAAGGATCTCTTTTTCTATCGATAATTTCTCCTCTAAATGGGCAGAGTACCACATGCCGGCAATTTATTGCATATTATCTCTGCCTGCAGGTTGGAAAAAGTAAAGAACTTGTACTCAGAGGCTATGAAACAGTCTCAACCCAGTCTGTGTGTGATCTTGGCTAAAAGTGATTTAATAATATTGACCCCGCTTAACACATAATAGAAGGATCCAGTGAGCTAACGATGATGACAAGGCTTTGTAAATGACATATGGTACTAGGAGGGAAGGAGTTCTCAGGCCCTAAGTTAGACATCAGACATGTTATTTCTATCCATACGTTTTTTTCTTTTCAGTTTGAGTCAGTGTGAGGTCAGGTGAATCCAGCCTGGTACAGACCATGGTCAATGAGAAAATCCAACACTTTCTTCTATTTCACATCCCATCATACATGTAGTGGACACCAATAAAAACTTGAAATAAAATAAAATTTAGAAGGTGTAGGTTAGGGCATCTAATGGAATCAGCACCAAACTAAACACAAGTCACTATTTGGCACGAGGTCAGAGCTTTGCTCTGGGCTTCTGATTTCATCTTTGAGTTTAATAACCTCAGTGGACTTGGGCAAACCTCTGGCTGATAAAGGAAGGCTATTGTCAATTTATCACAGAAAGAAGGTATCTTCCTCCTTCTCAGAGCAAAATTCCCCCATGTTATCCATTATTATTATGAACTAACTACACAGTAAAAGGAAAAATCCAGCAGCTCAAAGCCTATATTTTTTAAATTATCTCTTTTGTACATAAGAATGTAAAACCATGTGCACGACTTTGTACACATGTGGTCAAATCTTATGAAGGCAATATCAAGTCTAGATCCTACTAGGAAGCTCAGTAAGTCTCTTTAGAGCCACAGGAGGGAAGTAAGGGGTTGCTTGTTTGTTTCTACACTTCAGCCTAAGCCAGCAGCAAGAGGACCTGAGTTCAGATTCCCAACTCTGTATACCAAGCCAAGTGCTGCAGTCTGCACCTGCGATCTCAGTGCTGGGAAGGTAGAAACAGGAGGATTCCTGGAGCTTGAGGACCAGCCAGTCCAGCCAATCAGTGAGCTCCAGGTTCAGGGAGAGACACTGTCTCCAAACAATGAGGTGGAAAGTGATAGAAGAAAACACCCAACAACATCTCCCCACCCCCCACACCAACACACACATACGCATACACACACAAACACATGTACACACAAAAGATCTGGATGGCTTTTTCTCATTTCGTTTTGGATTTTTTTGTTTTGTTTTTTACAAGAAGCATTTCATTACAGCTTTGACATACTCAATAACAGTTTCCAGAGAAAAGATACATCTCTTTCAAAAGTGGCTATAAAATTTTTAGGTTCACTGTTGAATTAATAGTTATACAATATTGAATTCAGTATAAGCCCTGTAAAACATTGTTTCTTACAGAAAGAATCATTTGCTAATAACACTGAGTTGTTGCCACATGCATCTCTCATCTGTATATATCTGATTATTACTAGTCATAATCGGTTGCACTCGGATCCTTGGTTTTATTTTGTTTAATTTATTATTTTTATTTTGTGTATGAGTATATTGCCTGCATGTATGTGAGTGCACCCATGTCATGCAATGCTGCAGAGGTCAGAAGAGGGCTTCAGATTCCCCTGGAACTGGAGTTAAGGATGGTTTGTAACCGCCATGTGGGTGCTGGGAATCAAACCTGGGTCCTCTGCAAGAGCAGTCAGTGCTCTTAACCACAGAGCCATCTCTCCAGACCCTTTATCTCATATTTTTAATTAACTCATTAATTGAAGATTCACTACTGTATTTACACGTATGCATATAGCATGCATTGTTCATCTCCATCCACCCTCCCTTTGAACCTCTCTTTTGAATTCTGACATTAGATTCATAGATGACCACACTTACAGACAGCTCCACCTCCCCATGTCTGCCAATCTGTTTCTAAAGTGGGATTAGCTAGTAATAATCAACACTTTAACAAGTGTTTTGAATTCGTTTGATGATCCATCACCACCATAAAATAGCTACTACTAATAGCTTCATTTAACCCTTGAGGAAACTGTTAGAGAAATTAGCACCCAAGGCCACACAAGGATGAGACTGAAGTTTAAGTTCTTTAAATTTCCTTAGTACCTGATATATTCTATAGTCTCCTTAAGTAGGAATTCACAATAGCATTGATTCTTCAAAGCTCCAGTTGCTGCTGCCTCTGATGAAAAACCATTTAGGAGTCTGTGTGTCACCAGCCCTGATTGTCCTCTTCATCTAAGCTCACAGGCATTAGAAAGGTGCTTCAATGATAGCCAGCAGCCTTCTTCATTACAGAGACAGAGAAAACAGCCCAGACGACAAGGCAACTGGTCCGTGAATCATGGTCAATGAGAAAACCAACTTTCTTTCTCCTACCTCACATCCCACCACATCTGTGGTGGACCCCAGTAAAATATGGGATCGAATAAAATCAACACTGAATGAACCGCAGGACAGCGACCTTGAGTTCAGGTCTTAGGACCATCATTCAGCTTCTTCCCACTTGGTACTGGGTGCTCATCACAGACTCCTCAAATCTGATATCTCTAGTTTCTCTTACAAACACCAATGTAATGTGACTCACCTTGTTGTGTCTAGTCTTCCACATCTGTAAATAGGACATGATGCCAGAAATAACA